TTATTAGTGTAATAGATCTTTTCTCTTTCAGAATCGTGCTTGTTTCGATGTATTTATATGTTTCCTTTCAAGGTAAGTGCAAGTTTGAAAAACAGAAGAAAAAGAGTATCAGTCGACCAGAATAAAATAAAAAATAGGAAAAATGTATATATAAGCACAGTTTTTTATGTTTTTTGTTTTGTTGGTTGAATTAAAAAGAGCATATTTCTAAATAAGTGATTAGTAGTGAGTAAAGCAAAAAATAGGTGTGGGTAAAAGGAGAGCCAAAGCGTGAAAGAAGAATATATTACAAGTGGAGGAGAAAAAGCCAAACCTTCCCCTAATGGAACTATGACGATGCTTTGATGCTCTCTGTTTCTTTCCCTAAGTAGTAATTACAAAACTCTCTCTCTCTATGCATATATTTATCAATAATGGAAATATTAGCCCCACCATTTGTTTCTCTAACAAATCATATATATTGGATCTCCTTTTATGTATTGTTGATATATAGCTTTTTTCCCCCATATTATTGATTCGAACCAATTTAAAGAGGACTCGAGAAGATGCATATTCCCATCTAGATCAATCCATTGACTAACATAAAAATATACAGTACGTACAGTAAAAAAACAACGTACCTTTTAAAGTCTAAAGCAATCCACTATGTCTTCACATGAGTTTAATTGGTGACTTTTGACTTTATTTTACCTTTTTATTATCAACTACGAAAACAATAAAAAAGTATCGGAATTTTTACATTTAAGTTTTTTATACCGTTTTTTTCTTCTACGTTACTTCTTATAATTTTTAATTATTTTGTAATTTTTCCTATTTCCGCTTCATTATTTTTAAACGGTTAACTAACATTCTTTACTTTTTCTGTTAAAATTTTGATGATGGAGTCTACAAAACTTTGTGATTTAAATTAAATATCAACGAAAAAATCATGTTTTAAATTGTCCTGGAAAAAGTTAATGCTTGTCCAAATCATAAAGTTGGAGATTTAAACTATGAAGTACGGGACAATTAACGGGGACGAAACCTTTCGAATTTAGAGACGTTTCTCAAACGTATTATGTTAAAATTAGTGTTTATGTTGTTTGTTATATATATTAATTATTATTTT